GATCCCGAGGACGGGGGGCCCATCCCCTTCTCCGCCAGCAAGGCCAGCCCGCGCGTGTGGAGCGTCAGCCAGTCCATGGGGAGCGACCACGAGAGGCCGTGGGCGAAGGTGCTGCCTCTCAGCCTGCTGTGCGCAGGGCTCCTGCTCTGGTGTGTGTTCAGGGAACCAACGGAGATCGATGAGCGACTGGAAGCAGTTTTCTCTGGTCAGATGATAGACTCTTTAGATGTGGCGCAGAAAAGCGACCCTCCCTTGCGACTTCAGAAAGAGAAATGATGAGGACGGGAGTGCGGCTGCAGTGAAGGAGATGCCAGAAGTTTGCTGGCATTCACCTGGTTAAAAGCTGTACTGACAGTGTAATGGGAGAACTTGTTTTTGCAGTCTTGCCTTACAAGCTTGCTTCCTTCATGTGTCGTGCTGCTTTGTGTGCTGGTCTTAGTAATATAAGCTGGTAGCACAAGTAGATTCTTTCTGCATTGCACCGTAGGGGTGGACAGGATGTATAGCAAGTAACTTGCGTTTGAAGATACACTTTATAGAACCCATCTCTTTTCCATGGATCATTTTTCTTACATGCACAGTGTATTAGAATATCAAAGCTGTAAGTCTGTAAAATTGCTGCTGAAGGTGACCTTCGTTTGACATTTTGCTAGTCACAGAGTATGTTCAGCTTACATTGAAGACAGCTGTAAGTGTATGATTCATTAATACGTGATTCTGTATTCTGTTTTTGATTGGGTTTTGAGGGGGTTTTTTTGGTTTTGTTTTTAGTTTGGGGTTTTTTTTTTTGGTTTGGGGTTTTTTTTTGTTTGGGTGTTGGTTTTTTTTTTTGTTTGTTTGGTTGGTTTTATGTGTTACTTTGTAATTCTACTAAATGATGTAGAAGTCGTTGTCTTCAACCCTTAATGCATATTTGCATATTTGGTGCTTGCTTTCTGGACAATAACCTTTCAGGCATGCCTGATTTAGATGATCTGTAGTGGGAGGAGAGGTTTTTTAGGGAACTGAGGTGATGGGGTTGCAGCGTATTAGGAGGGAACCCCTCGTTTCATGAACAATGTGGTATCGTTTCTTGCCTACAGATAGGTAGATACTCAAACTTGCACACTCTGGCTGCTTTTCAGGGAGAGGGGGAATCTAAGCTGCTACTACAACTTACTTCCCTTCAAAGTTAGAGGCATTTCTTCTAAGCTTTCTGCTTTTAAGCTTTCTAATGTAAAAATGCAGAACTTTATGTGCCATTAAAATTATTAATTTATAAAAAAGAAAACAAACCCAAAACACCCCCACCCCCACCAACCCATAACTCCAAACGTGGCGGCAGCCAGTAAGACTCAGGCTGGAGGGACAGAGAAAACTGACACAGCATCATGTTTGTCTGACACTGCCGATGAGTCTCTGAGCAACATGCGCACTGTGTTTTAATTTTGATACTGAGTCCCCCTGAGGCTTAACCAGGTGATGCCTAATAAATGAGTGTTGTTGGTTTGCTACTGCCATAAGGTTTAATTAGTTTTAGGATTCAATTTCTACTGCAGTAGACTGTTGCAACTGAGGTACACTCGTGGGGGAGTCCTGGCGAGTAGCAGTGGTTTTGGATTTTATTTATATTGCCCTAAGGTGTGTAATGGCTGTTCCGCTGACTACTTTGCGTTCTCCATGTTCTTTAAATCAATGGACCCAGCCATGTACTAATGGTATCTAAGGAAATAAAGAGCTGCCCCTTCGCGTGTGCCTGATTTTTGGGTGATGACAGATGTTTAATAAAGATAATTGCCTATAAAACTGTTCTCACCGTCTCTTGCTTTGGAGACGTTGGAACGCTTGCCGCCCCTGCCCGCAGCGTTCTGCCGGAGCGTTGCCGCGGACG